CTGCACCTTATATTCCTGTCTTGCTTTTGTATTTCATCCTCCTTTGAACCATCCAATGACTTGTGCACTACAAATGATAAGTGTGAGGTGTACAGAAACCTGCACCTTATATTCCTGTCTTGCTTTTGTATTATATCCTCCTTTGAACCATCCGACGACTTGTGCACTACAAATGAGAAGTATGAGGTGTAAAGAAACCTGCACTTCATATTTCTCACATTCCTGTTTTATTTAATGTCTGAGCCTCTTTATATTTCTTACATCTGTGATTTATCTAATCTCTGAGCAAGTGTGACTGTGTATAATTAAGTTAATAAGCCCAGTTGTTTGAAGAAGCAATTTGCATTCCAGATTCTAGAATTGTACTAATTCTTCTATCCATTTTGATTTGCCCCTGTCATTGTAGAAGTATGAGTGGATTGACTTTTCTTGATGTGTATTTTATACAACGAGCAACTACCTTGCGCTGTCTTTCATCCGCCAACAATCCCATGACCCTGCATCAGGTCAGAAAAATATTCAATAATTATTTCTTATGCAGGGTCATTGGATTGTTGGCTTCAGACATACTGTACTGTTGGGCTTCAAGCATACTTCAGTTCTAAACTTATTCCCTTTTCCCTTCATTTTTCTAAGACTGTACTGTTGAGCATTAAGTAGGAGTAGTTACTTGTACCAAGGAGCAGATATGTATGACATGTTAATTTCACTTACTTTTGGAACGAAGATCTCACTTCATTTATATTAGTCCTTGACGTCTGTGTTCTTTATTGTGCAAAGTTGTTCCTTTCTGGGTAGATGAAAGTTCAGATTCCACCAAAGGAAGATTTAGTAGGCTTTCTGTTACATGTTGCTAAAAGTAAATGAATCGAATTCTTTCTGTTTTGGTTCAGGACAATTTGATTTTGGGAGGACAAAGGTCAGACAAGGATGAGAATGGGATACCAGATTACAACGATGGAGGCTCGGACATGGATCTGCTCATGCTCTCAGCGGGAATACTGGATGTTCTCGAAGCTTTGCCATACACACGTGGTACTTTTGGCACTTGCGTGGGCTCCAGTTTGTGTCAATGCAATTGCATCTGTCAGCGGCTTATGGTGATCAGGCTTGGTTATTGGCCTACATGTATGTTTGTGTATGGATGTCACAAAATTGTTATGCAGAAAATAAGAGTGTAGTTCATTTCAGAGATACAAGCGATCTTGTTCAGTTTAGTCAGAGCACATGCAAACAAGTAGTTCCCTAGGGTGGAGGCCTTCCACTTGCTTTTGCTAACTATATGAAATAGACTGAACCTGAACCTGACTACAATTGAATGTCTAAGCTGAATTGTTGCATCCGTAGACATGGAATTATGGATCAATTTTAGCTCTCAAGAACTGCATACTTATGGTCCTATGCAATCCCAATTTATTCAGGCAAGCATCCCAAAAGTTCACTAATGAACAAAGCAACATCACACAGAATCTAAGTTTAAGGCCAGGTTACTGTAATGTATTTTTAAAGATGTACATTAGAGAAATTGTTCAGCCAACAATCCAATTAAATTTGTGTGCAGCTATATATATATTTACTAATCAATCTTTTCCCTTCTCTCTATCTAATTTTAACATTGCACAATGATTTACTCCTTGTTTGTAGCTTACACTGAAATCTAAGCTTGTGTGCATGTATGTATTATGAACCAGCCCTGTCCATTGCCTTACTGGATACATAAGTCTCTCCATTGCTGTTGTCGGATGGGTTTATGTTTGCTGTTGTCGGATGGGTTTATGTTTGCTATTATTTTCTATCTTGGTTAGGAACCGTGTGCTATAATGCACCAATGCTGCTTTCGGATGACGACGACAATGCCAAACGCACCATCACCTGAGGTAGCTCATGTCTATATCTCATTTACTTATCATGATATGTACTTGGAAGTTATTCATATTGGTTTCTTAGGATCGCCTTCAAGAGCATGCTGAAGAATCACGACAAAAACTCCCCCAGTGATTGTGCCACTCCATGAGACATCCATATCAAACTGAAACTCAATTTCCTTGCATTAGCCAAATCATGCCATCACATATTCTTTGCTGTTGTTTTGGAACTATTTCAGTATGGTTGAGTTCTTTTTTGTAAGTGTACTCTTTATGTTGGTGACTTATTTTTTTAATTGATTGTTCTTTTACAAAATTGAGCAAAAAGAAAAGAACAAAGAAAAATTGTTTAGCTAGATAGGCAAAGCCGCTGATGTTTACTTGTTTGCTGTAGACCCTTGATGGGCCATGCTTTTCTCTGCTTTTTGCGTTCCTGGACTGTAAGAAATCTTGTGGATGTGCTCTCTGTTTTCCTGTTACTTTCTTCGCCACTCACATTTAAATTTGCTAATATATTAGTTTTCAAATATGACGTGTACATATCCAAGGATGAAGAGAAGAAGAAGAATCGGGATTGTCAATTGTGTATTTGCAATTGTACAAATCCGAGGTGCTATACTTATCTGCATTTAAATTTGCTTTTTTTTCTTGGAACTATTGGCATGTAGAGGAGGCTGCGTTTTATTTGGTGGTCCGTTAGGCACATAAGTAACTGTTTTTGTCTTTTTCACAAAACAAGCTGAGCTTCTGGTGTATATGGGCCCAGCTCCATGTTTTTATTGCCAAAAAAATAATTAAGTACAATGTTAGATGTGCTGGTTCACATGCCAATTGATCCTGTTTTTGAGGCCTTAATCTTACCATCCTATCTGAATATTCCTTTTATGACAATTCATAGGTCTATGCGATTGGCGGGGATGGAACCATGAGAGGAGCAGTGGCGATATTCGAAGAGTTTAAACGGCATGGTTGGAGGATATCCATTACATGGATCCCAAAAACTGTGGACATCGGCATGATAGACAGGTCGTTTGTGTTTCAAACTGCAGTGGAGATTACTCAGCATGCAATCAATGCGGAACATGTGGAGGCTGTGAGCGCTGTGAATGGCATTGGTCTTGTCAAACTTACGGGAAGGAGCACAGGACACATTACTCTTCATGCCACCCTGAGCAGCCGAGATGTTGACTGCTGTGAATCTTGAGATTGATTTCCACGTTGAAGGGAAGGGAAGCCTGTTTGAGTTCCTGTATGAAAGGATAAAGAAGAAGGGGCATGTTGTGGTCGTTGTTGCTGAAGGCGCTGGTCAGGAGTTAATACCCCAGACTGATGACTCAACAGAGTTAACTTAATCTGAACCTCCTCTGTTTCTGCTATATATCTCTATTTTTCTGAACTTAACAACCGAACAGTATTATATATTAGATCAGCACACAAGTGAACTAGAAATCATTTTGTTCAGATTGTTGGTACCCTCAGTGGAAAATTATTCCTTATTGGTTGGGGATTTGGAGACGTAGTATCTGGTTGATGAAGGATTTTTATCTCCTAAGCTCCACACATTCTCTTCCATCTAACACAACCGGCACGGTCAAGTGGTGTAGTAGTTGACGGTCGACAGCTAAAATCAAGGCACCGCCTTAATTTAGGCGGAAAGACCACAGCTCTTCCATCTACACCAGGTTTGTTTCTTTCAGCCCTAACATGTTTAGTCATATAGTTGTCGACAAACCCTGACATGATTCTGCTACAACACAGAAGGATTGGGAAAATATTAAATTTGGTGTTGAAGAGGTGTTGATTTCTATGATGTTCCGTTCGTGAAGGATGCCAAATTGCCAATGTTATTCATGAACTCAAGGACTTCCGGAAAAGTAATGTTTCTGTCATCTATGGAAGTCTTGGAAATCTATAATGGGAGCTTACTCAATATTTAATTTGTTATTTTAATATCCAGGTGCTAATGTGGATATACATTTCATTCCTGAAATCAAGAGGGCTAATTCAACTCCAAACCTGTGGTCAATTATTGCTGCTTCGGATGGGGTAAGGCCCTTATATTGCATGTAATGTTAGTTCATTCATGTTAAATCAAGTAGAAACTCCTTCCCACATGGAAATTACCTTAGGTCGCCTGTTTCATGAGAACTAAGTTCAAGAAATGATTTATTAAGGAGCTTTGGTTGTAACTGAAATTCACTGCAAAACTGCATATGGAAACATACAATATTTTTCTCCCTCTTAACTCACCTCAAAGTAAAGGACTTCTGGAGATAAAATTGTTGATTGGTAGGGCCTCGGTTTATTAACTATTAATATATTTTTAGAAGTTGAAGGCCAAATTATATGTTGTTTCTTCTTTGGGATGAAACAGATCATACGTGTGGCGTCGACTAAGACCGTAGTCTGATCATACTAGGCCTTATTGATTGTTGATTCTACTTCCATAGTCTGATATATTCAAGGTGCAGCCAAGATCAGGCAAGAGGACGATGTTCTGGTTGTTTCGACAGAAAATCAGCTCAAAGACTGAAGCCCCTATCCCAGTGTTAAAAACCTCAATCAACCGTAGCTAAAGCTGGAATCAAGTAGAGCAGTGGCTACTCCGAAAACTTTGTTCTGATCACTTCCAGGTAATTGGCTAGGATTTGTACCGTCCTTTTCCAGCTATCACAGATGGTATACTGCATACCAATGAGCATAGATGATTTATGTTGATGAACTATTTTAGATAGTGACACCGAAGTGTTATTCTATGGATAGCCTTCAGATGTTCTTTTGCATTTTTCCTGTGCAAAGATATATATTAATGGACAAACAGTGCTTACATGTTACCCTTTTGTCCACGAAGGCGTATTAGCATGCCTAGCTGCCAAGTATAAATAGTATGTGCATCACTCAGTAATTAAGCATCCTGGTGAAATATAGTATCTTAGAAAAATAAACGCTAACGTGTGCTGATACGTTGCTAAACCTACATGATATGAACTCACTTCTCTTTATTAATTGTTGGTTTACTTCAATGCCTGCAATGGCACTCCTAGGAATGTTAGAGCAACTCCAACACGCCGATCTAAACTGTCCACGCGCGTTCGTTTGGGTCGAAACTCACACAATTTGCGGCTCGACGCGCCGATGCAAACGGACGAGTGTCCGCTCTTTGTCCGCGCGCGACCCATTTCAGACCCAAATTCGGGCCAGATTTGCACCGGCGCGGACACGGAGCGTATGCATGCGATGCCCGCCCTTGTCCAGCCTCTTGGACCACCAGTCTATGGCACATCCACCCCCATTTCCCTTCCTTCCCAAAAGACCTCCCGCCCACTTGCTCTCCCGGCTGCTTGCCATGCGCGACGCGTCGAACCCCGACGACGCCATCGACCTCGCCTCCACCATCAACATGCCCCGCGCCGTCCGCAAAAAGGCGGTGCCGCCCAAGAAGGTGTTGATGGACGCGTGACGGGTCGTTCCACCAAGAGGGCTGGCCGGAGACAGGTGCATGCCGACAAGCTGGAAGCTGCGGCGGCGGCCGCTGCCCAACAGAAGGCCGCCAAAAGAAGAGTAAATGAAGGCGTACATGGAGATGCGAGTGAAAAAGCTCGAGATAGAGGCGGAGATGCAGGCAAAGAAGATCGAGATGGAGGCGGGGATGCACGTGAAGAAGCTAGAGATGGAGGCAGACGTGCAAGCGAAGAAGGTAGAGGTCAAGGCTGCCAAAGCCAAGACCAAAACAAAAGAAGTGGCGCCCGCTTGCATGATGGAGGTGAAGATCATTACGATGTACTTGAGCATGGTGTTCTCGAGGAAGAAGCCTTGCTTCGAGAAGATGCAGAGGGAGATGCTCAAGCTTGATGATTGATCTATGACGGAGAGCGTCATCTTTTTTGTATGCCGACTTGTGCTAGCATGAGCACAACCGAGATGTATGGCGTGGTTGAACCACCCTTTTTTTTGTGTGCTGGCAAGTGTGATAGCATGAACCACATTTTGTTTTTTTGGAGGCTGACATGTATGCCGGCTGCAGGCATGGCCGCCGACATGAACTGTGGGTGCTAGCATGGCCGCTGGTATGAATTCAATGGAAAATAAGTATTTACTAAGTTGATTCTGGATCAATCCCATATGCATGGTTTAAATACTTGGCTTGCTCTCGCCTTTTGTGCCATGGGCGCAACAAGTCATCTAGCATGAACAAAGAGAAGCATATGCTTTTGCTTTCAAATGCACTTCGAATGGATTGCGCCTGATCGTCTACTCAATATAAGCAAGTTGCAAGGGCCCCTTATTATATAACTTAATATTAGTATAAATGCCTATCAAGACTTCTGTGTTTATCATCCTTTTGGATCTTATGTAATCTCCTAAGACTATCCTGTGCACTTACCTATCGGTTATTTGCTGCACCTATCGGTTATTTGCTGCTTAGACTGCTATGTGATATGAAATTGTTCATATTTATGGCTTCGGTATAGTATACATAGTAATCATGACTAGATCGTAGAAGTTAGAGATGTACAAATGATTGATTGGAAATATATATTTGTATTTGCAACAACACACTAGATCACGTCAGGTAAATATTTTTGTAGAATATAAGTTAGGTTTAGAACTTTTGATGACGACAGCTGAAAAACCAAAGTAAATCCATGATATATAGTCAGTATAATATATTTAGATATTCATAGATATTCATGGCACTGCATAAGCATAGTTCAGTTCCCCTGGGAGCACTAGCTGCTGGCTTTTACATGTATTTCTTGACTCTAATAAGATGCAGCTAATCTTAGAAAATATAGTAAGCACCTATCATGAAATTTAAAACTGGCATGATGTGGCTCTCCGTTGATAACTATGATGCTTGCATAGCTGGTTGATTTATTTGATTATAATCAAACTAAACCATCATAATATTAAGATTGTGATTATTCAGATAAAAAATGATCAAAGAAATACATGTACCAAAGTCACATCTGTTGAGATAATGATTAGGCATACAATTGCTTCTTCAAATTATTGCAATATTGTAGTTCTCTGTAGTCTAATAAATTATGTACTGTGGTCCTCCGCCTCACCGCTTAACGGGATGAACCGGGCAACGTACGCCAAGGCGAGACCTGCCTCTCCTCTTAAGTTGATTGGTTTCTCTTTCTGCATTCCTTTTCTATGGTCTCATTTGGCATTTCTCCTTCATGATTATTATGCTGTCCCTTTTGGGTCATCAGATGCTTTACCTCAGCAGCATGATGAGATTCCTTGCTTTCTCCATGTGAATTTTCCAAAAAGCTTATCTATTTAAGGAACCATTTTTTCTCATTGATGTTGCATCAACTAATGCTTATAGTACCTAATAGAACTAAAAGTCGGTTACCCGGTCAACACACCTTATAAAAAAATATGAATGGGCAAGATGTGGCCATCTAGAGTAGAATTTGGTTCATTGATTAATGTAGAAAGACATTGGGTCAAAGTGATCTTTTTCCAAGGTAATCACCACTGTTTTGTTTTAGGCTTATGTGCCTGATGTTTTTTAGGATCTCTGTCAATAAGGGGATATATCAAGGTAGTGTGTTGTGTTCTAATTATAAATGAAGAGAAAGTTAAGAACTTCATAGATACAATGTAATCATGGCTAGAGCGTAGAGGTTAGAGATGTACAAATAATTGATTAAAAAATATATATTGGTATTTGTAACAACACACTGGATCACGTCAGGGAAATATTTTCGTAGAATATAAAGTATGATTTAGAACTTTGACCATGACAGCTGAAAAACCAAAGTAAATCCATCATATATATTCAATATTCATGGCGCTGCACAAGCATAATTCAGTTCCCTTGGGAGCACTAGCTGCTGGCGTATAGATGTATTTCTTGATTCTAACAAGATGCATGGCAATCTTAAAAAATATAGTAAGCACCTATCATGAAATTTAGAACTGGTGTGATGTGGCTCTATTGATAACTATCATGCTTACATAGCTGGTTGATTTCTTTGATTATAATCAATATGAACCATCATAATTCAAGATCGTGATTATTCAAATGATATGATCAAAGAAATACATGTACCAAAGTCACATCTGTTGAGACCATGATCAAGCACACAATTGCTCCTTCAAATTATTGGGATATTGTAGTGCTCTTTAGTCTAATAAATTATGTATTGTGGTGCTCCACCTCCTTTTCTCTTCTTGCCAGGACATATACTCTGCATGGGAAGTTGCCTACTTGGTATGAGCTTCAGTAGCATCGGCATCCGCTACACCTTCCTATGTTCTTTTGTTAATAGTCTGCCCATAATTATAACAACGAAATGCATGAATGTATATAGCTTTGCACCAAGACACTTTACTTTATCTATGATCTGTCATTTTTGTGAGTCGCAGATGATTTTGGCATTGATATTCTCATGCAAGCCATCCTATCTTTGCAAGCCTAAAGATAGAATACACTCAGGGCACCACATGTTTAAGTTGTCACTCCTATGTTTATAAGTTTATAGGAAGCAAACATTTTCATTATCTTTGGCACTTATATTTTCATTATATTAACTTGTGCAGCGGAGTTTTAAAATCAAAACGGGGCAATTCTCTACTGTGACAAAGTGAAGAGAAAACTGATGCATCAAACTAATACAGAAATTCAGTTCATATGAAGCAGAAGAAAGGCATACAATACCTTACATTGACAGTGATTGGTAGCCCATTGTGGTACTTCAAATCTGATAAAGAATATATTTCATGACTGAGACATGACATTTGGAGAATCTCAGTTCTAATATCTACATGAATCAACTTTTATTTTGTCATGCTACTGAATGTTCTGATACGGGACTATCTATTCTGTGTATCTCTTATAAGTAATAATGAAATGATCTATATGTAAAGTTTTCCTATTTTGATTATATTATGTTGTCGATGATGCATGGTTCTTGAATTTGGAGATTAACATTTAGGCTTTTGATATTTTGAACCTTTTTGCTTTGTACTAAACTTGATGCAAACCAGTTTGTCTTATCTGGCACTGCCACTCAGTCTTTTTGGAACAAATTTTGTCATGTGCTTGCAAATTAATTACCCTATTGACTTAGTATTCTCAGTTTACCATGTTTTTGGTATATCTCTACTGTTTGTGATCTATACTAAACTTATTAGTCCTGAAAGAGTGCTGTAATTTCCTTTGGATGTACAAGATTTATACATGCCGGGTCACGACGCTTGGACAGGCAATGGTTTCCGATCTAGTGCATGATTATCGTGAGCGGGCTGGACGGGGCTTCCCTGCTCCCTCTGCATGCTCTCAACTCATTTGTTCTCCGTCCAACATCCGCTTAGTTTTCCCCTCCTTGCACACAGCCACGACCTCTACTATGTATGTATATTACGTAAATACTAAAATACATATATACTTGTATGACGTTTGCCGTCTTCTCCCACGGGCACACCGCTCCACTCCATGCAGCACACCATATCCACCTACACTCCGGCGAGCCCGGCCACCATCGCTGCCTGCATGGTGCACCACTGCACCTCCACGCTGAGAGCAGGTACTAGTATCCTCTCAGCTCCCTGCCCTCCTTCACCATCTTTAGCTCCACGCGCATGCGTATGCACGCAGCCAACTGTGAGGAAGAGCGTGTTCTTGACCAGTGGCTGGGTCACAAGCAGCGATCCCGGTGTCCTTCGCTTGAACACGACCATGACCCCGTTCATCGGCATGGACACCATGATGAGCACGGTGAAGGTTCATACATTTAGACCTTGTCCCGCAGTCTCCGCCTTGCCACTGGCGACGCGTAAACGATACCAAGATTGCGACGGCGCCGAGGACGTGCACCACCGGGAGGATGCCTATGCCGACAAAGAAAAGCGACAAGACAATACGACATCGCGCATCGAGCTCGTGTTATCTAAGTAGTCCAACGACTGCTCATCTCATCACGGTCGGCGTACGGTTTTTCCGACGGCGGCTGCGGCACATCTCAAGCTTGGTGACCGCGTGCCTCTTGACACATCGGGATCTGTGCACAACTCCGCTTACCCAATTGCCTTGCAAAGTGACGCTGGGGAGATGGAAATACGGTGTCTGATCGGGTTTTTTATCGCTCTAGGCGTCGCGTCAAGTGCTTCAAGCCGCGGAAACAAACACACAATTCACGAGCTGGAGATGCCATCGGGATAACAGCATATGCGTGTAAGTGTGTTGTGCGCGTGTGAATTAAATACGCCGTGGCGCTCTGTTTGCTTAACAAGAAAGTTGTGTGGGCACAGTGGTTAGCATATGTGGGCTTCAGCGGACGATCGACCGCTGGTTGATTAGTGTTGTGTTTTTTTTCTCACTAATAGATGGGACCCACGTAGGTAAAGAGAGGGTGTTGTGGTGTTTGACCAGTCAACAGAGTAAAATACGGAGCTATACTGTGACCCAGTGACCGTATAATCATTTTAATTTTAAGTCGTATATAATGACCATATTAATCATATTCTAAAATACAGTGACCAAAATGAACTTTCGACACAAGTTCAATAACCGTGGATGCATTTTACTCTTTTTTTTAACATGAGCTGACGGCTGTTGGAATGAAGGCCGAGCGAGCCGAACATGTCAACCGGCCATGTACGAAATTGCTGGAAATTCTCGATGCATTTCTGGTGTTATTTTTTAAAAGCTAGTGCATTTCCGGTGGGTTTTTTTTTGCGAATATTTCTGGTGTTAACCTGGCTAGCTTGAGCGTCAACCTAAGTTCATCAAAAGAATAAAAAAAAAAATTATCGTCAACCTGCTCTCCAAGCATCCTTGGTACGTACGCAGTGTACATGAGAAATGCTCAGCTACCACTCCATGCTCGTAA